CTGGGATCGGGGGGCACCCGAGGGGGCTCCCCCAGCTCCTGCAGCGCCCTCAGGGTGAGGCGCTCCTCCTCCCAGTCCCGGGCCGCGGGAACGGGGTTGGGAACGGGGCTGGCTCCGGGTGGGATCGGGATCGGCGCTTCCTCCATCGGCGCCTCCTCGATGACGGTGTCGTCCGAGTCGCCCGAGCTGTCGGCTTCGGCGGGGCCGGGATTCCCGGCGCTATTCCCGTTCCCCCCATTCCTCTCCACTAAATCCCAGCTGAGCAGCTCGCTGGTGAAGCTGTGCATCTCCCGCACGCACTTGGACACCTCCTCCAAGGCCGCGGCCGTGCCGGATGCTTGTCGGGATAATCCAGTGGGAAGCTTGGCTGGAAGGCCGGGAATGCCGTTCCCTGTGCGGGCTTTCACCGGGAAGTCGCAGACTCGATCCTCCGGGATCTGGCTCAGCACTTCCCGTTCCGCCATCGGGATGCTCCCGGGGCCGTATTCCCGGTCGAAGGCGGCGCGATCCGGCACCACCTCAAAGGGCGATTCCGGGGAATCCAGTTCCTTCGGAGCGGGAATCCCGTTGGATGAGGGGGGGCAGGTTGGGACAAAGGCTCCTCCTCGCCCCCCGCAGCCGCTGGGGCCGGAGAGAGGGGGGGGGAAACGTCAGACGGAGGGTGGGAATTCCGGGAATGGGGGTCCCGCATGCACCCCATGGGGGGGTCCCCCCCGTCCATCGGTGCAGCCATGCGGGGGGGGGGCAGCAGGTCCTGCGCCGGCACAAAGAGGGGGCCCTTCCCACCCCAAAACCGGCCTTGAAGATGGGGGAGGCTCGATTTGGGGCTAAAAACACCCAAATTGGGGCTGCAGGGATGGGGAGGGGGGACCCCAGTATGGGCGCAGCCACCCCCAACCACTGCTATTGGGGCAGGATGGGAGGGCTTGGGTGCTCCAGGGTTGGTTTTAGGGTCTCCAAGGCAGGTTTTGGGGTCCTCCAAGGTTGGTTTTGAGGTCTCCAAGATGGGCAGGAGGGGTTTTGGGTCCTCCAGGGTTTGAAGGGAAGGTTTTGGGTTGATCCAAGGCAGGCTCTGGGGTGCTCCAGGGTGGGTTTTGGGGGGCTCAAAGGCAGGGAGAAGGATTTGGGGTCCTCTAAGGTTGGTTTTGGGGTCTTGAAGGTGGGGTTTGGGTGGATCCAAGGTGGGTTTTGGGGTCTCCAAGGTAGGGCTTGGGCTCCTCCAAGATGGGGAGGAGGAATTTTGGGTCCTCCAAGGTTGGTTTTGGGGTCCTCCAGGGTTGGAAGGAGGGTTTTGATTGATCCAAGGCTGGTTCTGGGGTCCTCCAAGGTGGGGAGGAAGGTTTGGGGTGTTCCAAGCCAGGTTTTCAGGTCCTCCAAGATGGGTTTTGGGATCTCCAAGGTGGGTTTTAGGGTGCTCCAAGGTTGGAAGGAGGGGTTTGGGTTGATCCAAGGTTGGTTTTGGGCTCCAAGGTTAGGAGAAGGGATTTGGTGCACTCCAAGGCGGACTTTGGGGTGCTCTAAAGATGGTTTTGGGGTCCTCCAAGGTTGGGAGGTGGCTTTGGGGTGTCCAAGATGGGTTTTGGGATGCTTCAAGGTTGGGAGGTTGGTTCTGGGGTGCTCCAGGGTTTGAAGGAGGGTTTTAGGTTGATCCATGGTTGGTTTTGGGGTCCTCCAAGGTGGGGAGAAGGGATTGGGGTCTCCAGGGTAGGTTTTGGGTTGATCCAGGGCTGGTTTTGGAGTCTCCAAAGCGGGTTTTGGGTTGATCCAAGGCGGGTTTTGGGATGTCCATTCCCATGTCCCCCCAGTCCCATGCACAGGGTGGGCAGGGGTCGCGGCGCAGGTGCCTCCAATGGGGTTTGAGGCCAAACCATGGAGAAACGGTCAAATCCTCCTGGGGGGACCCTGGGGTGGGGGGGTGGGGGGGTTGCAAAGCACCAGCAGCAGCCAGGGGATAAGAGGGGGGGAAGCTGCGGGGCAGGAGGGGAGGGAAGTTGTGGGGCAGCACCCCCAAGAAGCAGAAGATACAGCGTTAAGCAGCAAGCAAAGAAGAGAAATGTCCCTTTTTTGGGGGGGGAGGGGGGGCTTCCCCCACCAGAAACATTTGGGGGGGGGTCTCAGGACCCTTCCTTGCCCCCCCAAAATGAGCCCCAAGCAAAGCCCCCTCAAACAGGGGCAGATTTTAGCCCCCACCCACACCCCCAAGCTGTGTCACTGGGAACCCCAAACCAGGGGAGTTTGGTTTAAAGGTTCAGGCTTTGCCCCCCCCCCCCCCCGACATTTCCCATCTTGGGGGGCAGGAGGGGTCCAGAGGGGGGCACTTGCCTGGTGCGGTTGCAAAGAGAGAAACGGGCTGAGAGGAGGAGGAGGAAGCAGAGGGGGGATCTGCAAGAGAACACAGAGGTGAGAGCCCTGCGGGGGTCCCCCCAAACCCGACCCCCCAGAACCCTCCCAACCTCCTCCCCCACCTAAGGCTTCATTGCGGCGCAGCTCCACCTCCATGTCTCCACTGTCTCTATAAGGTATCTATGGGGTTTTGGCGTGAAAGCCCCCCCAAAATGGGTCCAGCGTTGCCTCTTCACTCCCAAAATGGGCAGATTAAGTGGAAGGGGGGGGGGCTTGAGAACCCCTAAACCCCCTGCTTGGAGTCTCAGTTCCCTTTTCCATCGGTTTATCCCACATTAAGGCGGTGCCGGTGGTTTCATGCTTGTCCCCATGCAATGGGAGGCTCCTGGGGGGGTTCGGGGAGGGGGGGGAAATCCAGGTTTTCCCCCTTTTTGAGATGCCATCGTGTCTCTTCCATCAATGGAGCCCCATCTCTGACCAAACCTGGGGGAGGGTTCCCCCTTTTTGCAGCAGGGATCCGGAGCATAAACAGCATCAGGGCATCCCAAACCCCCACTTCCCCCCCCTGCTTTCGGCGCTGAATCCCCCCCAGGCGATATCTGGGGTGAAACCCCAAAGTTTGGGGTATCCAGAGGGGAAAAAGGGGGGGGGGAAATGACAGGAACTGGGGCGCAACGGCGGCAACTGGGGACCCCGGGAGAGGGCTCAAGGGGGGGGGCAAAGGGACTCCCCTCCCCCCCCACGGGGCAGACGGACGGAGCAGCCCAAGACACCTCAAAACCTGCAGCAACGGCCCCACTTCACCCCGATCCTGAGCGATGAGGGGGGGGATATGCCAATGCCCCCCATGGCTGACACATATGGGCCTCTGCCCCCTATGGCTGACACATATGGGCCTCTGCCCCCTATGGCTACCATGAAAAGACCTCTTGCCCCCTATATCTACCCCCAAAAGGCCTCTTCCCCCTATATCTGCCTTCTCAAAGCTCCATCTCCCCACATCTGCAGCCCTAAAGACCATTTCATCTCATATCTGCCCCCACAGCGGCCTCTTTCCCCTGTATTGGTCCCCCAAAGGCCTCTGCTCCCCACATCTGCACCCCTACAGCCCCCTATCTGGTATATCTACCCCTTCTAAGGCCTCTTTCGCTAATATCTACTCCTATATAGGCCTCATTCTCTCATATCTGCTCTCTCATAGGCCTCCTTCCCCTGTATCTGGCCCTCCAAAGGCCTCTCCTCCCCGTATCTGCCCCCAAGCCTCTTCCCCTCATATCTGCCCCCATATAGACCTTTTTCCCCTATATCTACCCCCCCAAAGGCCTGATTACCCCGTATCTGGCCCTCCAGAGGCCTCTTTCCCCTATACCTGCCCCCATATAAACCTGATTCCCCTACACCTGCTCCCATATAGGCCTTTTTCACCTATACCTACCCCTATTTAGACCTCTTTCCCTATACCTTCCCCCATATAGGCCTCTTTCACCTATGTCTACCCCTATATAGGTCTCTTTCCCCTCCAGCTGCACCATATAGGCCTCTGCTCCCCATATCTACCCCCCATAACCCTCCATCTACTGCACCTACCCTCATACACGCCCCTTGCCCCAATATCTTTCTCCCCAACGCCTCTTCCCCCTCAGAGCTCCCCTCATCCCCCTCCTCCGCCCCATCTACCCCCCCCCCGCACCGCCCCGGCAGTTCCCTCACGCCCACAGCTCCCGCAAGCCGCGCTGAGCCCTTACCGGCGCACGACAGGGCTCCGGCGGTGCCGCAGCCGCCGCGATGGGGCTGCGGGAGGCCGGGCTCGGAGGACGAGGACACGAGCGGGGACTGCGGGCCGGGCTCGGCCATGGCGGCGCTGCGGAGCCGCGCCTCAGCGCCTCCGTCCCTCACCGACTGCCGGCGGCACCGCGCATGCGCCTCCCCCCCACCCTGAGCATGCGCACGTCGCCTCCCGCCCGCCGCAGCCCCCGCGCTTCTACGCATGCGGCCGGCAAGGCGTCGCCATGGCAACCACGCTGCCGGCGCGCGGGGCATGATGGGAGCTGTAGTCCTGCGCTGCGCGCGGTGTCTATAGGGGGCTGCGACCTATAGGGACAAAGAGGGTATGAGGGGGTCCCATAGACTACCCTATAGCGCCATAGGGTGCCTTCTAGAGGGGGGTAGGGTGACGGCATGGGTGAGGCTTAGAGGCTGCTGTGAGTCAGATGATGTCCCTTACAGATTAAGGGCGGTGGGGGGAGCTATAGGGTAGCCAGGCCCTATAGCTATATAGGGCTATATAGTGGGGCTATACAGAGTCGGTCAAACCAGGCCGTGGAGCGCTCGCTGTCGGTGACCCCCGAAAGCGGGCCGGGGCCTATAGAGACGAGCACGTGCGTAGGGCGCCCCCATGTGGTGGGGGGAGCGTCCCTCAGCCCCTATAGGGGACAACGGGGGGGGCGGGGGGCACTGCTGCGGTCACAAAGCTCCGCCCCCTCCTCCCCTGTGGCCCCGCCCACCGCTCGGCCTTCAGCCAATCAAGCGCCGGCAGCAGAGCCTCCGGCCGACCGTGACGCAGCCGTGCGGTGGGCGGGGTCTTACGGCGGGATGGCAGAGCTTTTAACCAATAGTAGAGCGGGCTCGGAGGGGAGGGCCAATAAGAAGAGGTTCTTTCCGGTAAAGGGGCGGGGCAAGTAGCGGTACGAAGGGGGCGTGTCGAGGGCTGACCAATAGGAGGCTAGGGGGGCGGGGCTAGCGGGACGCGGGGGGAAGCGGTGGTTGCGGTCGCGCAGCGGTGAGTTGACGGGGGGAGAGAGAGGGAGAGACACACCGGGGATCACGTGACCCACGGCCCCGCGTGACCCCTTCCCCCCGTAGGATCCCCTCTTAGGGCCCGGGACCCCCCATAGGGGCTGGTGCCCCCCATAGACCGGATCGCCCATAGGGCCCGGAGCCCCTCTAGGGCTTGGGACCCCCCCAGAGCCCAGTATGGACCAGTGCCGCCAGTTTGGCCCCACTGGGCAGCTCATCTATGGGGCCAGTGGGGCAGTGTGGGGCTGCACAGGGTTGTATGTGCCTCACAGGGCCATACAGGGCTGAGTGGGGTTATGTGGGACCTTATGGAGCTGTATGGGGTGAATGTGCCCTATGGGTCATGTGGAGCTGTATGGGGTGAATGTGCCTTATGGGGTCATCATGTGGGGCTGTATGGGTTGCGTGTGCCCCATGGAGTCATGTGGGGCTCTGTGGGGGGCCTGTGCCCCATGGGGTCATGTGGGGATGTATGGGGTGTATGTGCCCTATAGGGTCATGTGGGGCTCTGTGGGGTGCGTGTGCCCCATGGGGGTCATGTGAGGCTGTATGTGCCCTACGGGTCCTTATGGGGCTATGTGGGCTGTGTGGGATCCCGTGGGGCTGGGTGCGCCCCATGGGGTTATATGGGCTTGTATGGGTGTATATGCACCCCATGTGTGCCCTATGGGCTGTGCGGGGTCCCTCTGGGGCTGCACGTGCTCCATGCGGCTGAATGAGGGGTCCCTACGGGGCCGCGCGGGTCCCTGTGGGGCTCTCTGGGTCCCTGTGGGGCTCTCTGGGTCCGCGTGGACTTTGCCCCCCCCCGGTCAATGATTCACCCGGGGGGCAGCGGGGGCTGGAGCCGGGGCCGGGCGTGCGCAGGGAGCGGGCAGAGCCGCAGCGAGGGACCGGTGGGGCAGAGGTACCCGTGCGGGGGGGGGGGTGCCCGTGCTAGAGGTGCTTGTGAAGAAGAAGGGGTTGGGGGGGGGGGCGTGCAAGAGGGGCTTGAGCCAAAGGGGCGCGATGGAAGGGGTGTGCGTGTGCAAGGGGTGCTGGTGCTGGAGGGGTCCTTGTGCAAGGGGTGCTTGCGCAAGGGGGGGGGCGTGCAAGACGTGCTTGTGCCAAAGGGGTGCGATGGAGGTGGTGGGTGCGTGTGCAAGGGGGGGCTTGTGCTGGAGGGGTCCTTGTGCAAGGGGTCCTTGTGCAAGGGGTGCTTGTGCTGGAAGGATCCTTGTACTGGAGGGGTCCTTGTTCTGGAAGGGTCCTTGTGCAAGGGGTCCTTGTGTAAGAGGTGCTTGTGCCAAAGGGGCGCGATGGAGGGGGTGTGCGTGTGCAAGGGGTGCTGGTGCTGGAGGGGTCCTTGTGCAAGGGGTCCTTGTGCTGGAGGGGATCTTGTGCAAGGGGGGGGGGCGTGCCAGACGTACTTGTGCCAAAGGGGTGCGATGGAGGTGGTGGGTGCGTGTGCAAGGGGGGGCTTGTGCTGGAGGGGTCCTTGTGCGAGGGGTCCTTGTGCAAGGGGTGCTTGTGCTGGAAGGATCCTTGTACTGGAGGGGTCCTTGTTCTGGAAGGGTCCTTGTGCAAGGGGTCCTTGTGCTGGAGGGGTCCTTGTGCAAGGGGTCCTTGAGCCAAAGGGGCATAATGGAGGGGGTGAGTGTGTGTGCAAGGGGTGCTTGTGCTGGAGGGGTCCTTGTGCAAGGGGGGGCCGTGCAAGAGGTGCTTGTGCCAAAGGGGTGCGATGGAGGTGGTGGGTGTGGGTGTGCATGGGGGGAGCTTGTGTTGGAGGGGTCCTTGTGCAAGGGAGGTCCTTGTGCAGGGGGTGCTTATGCCGAAGGGGTGCAGTGAAGGTGATGTGAATGTACGGGGGGGGGCTTGTGCAAGAGAGGTGCTTGTGCAAGAGAGGTGCTTGTGCTGGAGGGGTTCTTGTGCAAGAGGTGCTTGTGCCAAAGGGGTGCGATGGAGGTGCTGTGCCTGTGCAAGGGGTCCTTGTGCAAGAGGTGCTTGTGCCAAAGGGGTCCTTGTGCTCGTGGCAAGAGCCACTTGTGCAAGGAGATGCTTGTGCAAGGGGGGGTTTGCACACCCGTGTCTGTCCCGTGCCTCCCCCCCGCCCCCATTAACGCTGGCTGAGGGGAGATCCAGGTTCTTTATGGGATGTTGGGGGGTTGGGATTCTCTGGTGTCTTCTATAGGGGTTGTGCAAAGGGGAGGGGGAGGGGGGTCCCGGATGAGGGTCAAAGGGCAGTGGGGGAAAGGTCGGGGGGAGGGGGGGAGAGAGGGGGGAGATTCTCTGCTGTCTCCTATAGGGGTTGTGCCCGGGATGGGGGGTGGGGGGGGAGGTCAAAGGGCACTGGGGGAAAGGTGATGTTTGGATCCATTCTGGGAAATGGGGGGGGGGGGGGGGAAGAGGAGGAGGGGGAAAGGGGGGGGAGATTCTCCACTGGCTCGTATGGGGTTGTGCCATTGAGGGGGGAGCGCTGACCCGTGACCTCCCCAACCCGTGTCTGTGACCCCCTTCCCTCCCCCCAGATGTTTCAGCTGTGCCTCCCCCGGGGGGGCCGGGCCCTGCTGGGGCTGCGGCTGCTGCGGGGCCCCCCCGGCGCCCGGCGCCCCGTCAGCTACCAGCCCATCCGCAAGGTGCTGGTGGCCAACAGGGGTGAGTGCAGACACCCGGGACCCCCCCATGGCCCCCGGGGCACCCTCGCACCCATTGAGCTTTGTGCTCTGGGTCCACACTTTGTCCCCTCCATCCCCCCATGGCCCTTGGGTCCTCCCCCAGCCCGGGTGTCCCCATGGGGTGTCCCCACTGGGTCCCGATGTCCCCCCTGCGCCAAGGTGTCCCCAGTGGATGTTTCCAGTGGGGTGTTCCCAATGGGATGGGATGTCCCCAAGGGGTTGGAATGTCTCCAATGGGTGTCCCCAATGGTTATCCCCCTTTTTTCTGTTTTCCCAATGGAATGGGATGACCCCGGTGGGTAGGGATGTCCCCAGTGGGGTGTCCCCAGTGGGCTGGGCTGTTCCCCATGTCCCCGTGTTCTTAATGGGATAGGATGTCCCCGATGGGATGCGATGTCCCTAATGGGGTGTCCCCAATGGGATGGGATGACCCCAGTGGGTAGGGATGACCCCAGTGGGTAAGGATGTCCCCAGTGGGATGGGATGACCCCAGTGGGTAGGGATGTCCCCAGTGGGATGGGATGTCCCCAATGGGATGGGATGACCCCAGTGGGTAGGGATGTCCCCAGTGGGGTGTCCCCAACGGGCTGGGCTGTTCCCGCAGGTGAGATCGCCATCCGGGTGTTCCGGGCCTGCACGGAGCTGGGGATCCGCACCGTGGCCGTGTACTCGGAGCAGGACACGGGGCAGATGCACCGGCAGAAGGCGGACGAGGCCTATCTGGTGGGGCGGGGGCTGCCCCCCGTGCAGGCCTACCTGCACGTGCCCGACATCATCCGTGTGGCACAGGTACCCGGCACGGGGGGCAGCCCTATGGGGTGGGGGGTGCACGTGTGCCCCACAGGGATGTGCCTGGGTGCCCTATGGGAGCACATCTGGGAGACCCACAGGGATGTGCCTGGCTCCCCTATGGGGGTACGTCTGGGAGACCCATAGGAATGTGCCTGGGTGCCCTATGGGAGCACATCTGGGAGACCCACAGGGATGTGCCTGGGTGCCCTATGGGAGCACATCTGGGAGACCCACAGGGATGTGGCTGGCTCCCCTATGGGGGCACATCTGGGAGACCCATAGGGATGTGCCTGGCTCTCCTATGGGGGTACATCTGGGAGACCCATAGGGAACTGCTTGAGTGCCCTATGGGGGTACATCTGGGGGACCCATAGGAATGTGCCTGGGTGCCCTATGGGGGCATATCTGGTTTCCATAGGGTGAGAGGACACATGTGCTCCATAGGGATGTGCCTGGGTGCCCTATGGGGGGACACATGGGAGATCCATAGGGTTGGGCCTGGGTGCCCTGTGGGGGTATATCTGGGTTCTGTGGGGTAGGAGGACACACATGTGCACAATAGGGATGGGCCTGGGTTCCTTTGGGGGGGCATACGTGGGTCCCATGGGATGAGGGGGACACGTGTGCTCCATTGGGATGTACCCGGGTCTGCTGTGGGGTACATATGGGGGGCCCATAGGGATGTGCCTGGGGTATCCCCATGACCCTCCCAATCAATGTTTCCCCCCCCCATTCCCTCTGTCCCCCCCATCCCTGTTCCCCCCCTCCATCCTATTCCCATGGCAGGAGAATGGGGTGGATGCGATCCACCCGGGGTACGGGTTCCTGTCCGAGAGCGCTGCCTTCGCCCAGGCCTGCCTGGACGCGGGGGTCCGGTTTGTGGGGCCCCCCCCAGCCGTCGTGCGCCAGATGGGGGACAAAGTGGAGGCTCGAGCCATTGCCATCGCTGCTGGTGGGGATGGGGGGGCATGGGAGGGGGGCATGGGGGGGCTATAGGGGGGTATGGGGTTGTTTGGGGGGGTATAGGGGGGTAAATGGGGTGTTTGGAGGGTGTATGTGAGAGTAAAGGGATTATTTGGGGGGAGTATGTACGGGCAAAGGGGTTATTTGGGGCATATAGAGGGATAGGGGTTCAACTGAGGGGCTATGGGATTGTTTGGGGGGACTGTAGTGGAGTAAAGGGGTTATTGGGGGGGCTATGGGGTTATTTGAGACATTAAGGGGGATATTGGGGGGGGTTATGGGGCGGTATGGGATTGTTTGGGAGGCTAGAGGGTGTTACAGAGTGTTATAGGGCGCTGTAGGGGGGTATAGGATGCTCTAGGTGGTTGTAGAGTGCTCTGGGGAGTATAGGATGCTAAAAGTGGTTGTAGGGTGCTATAGGAAGTTACAGGATGCTATTGGTGGTAAGAGGATGCTCTAGGGGGGTAAAGGATGCTATAGGTGATTGTAGGGTGTTCTAGAGAGTTATAGGATGCTGTAGATGGTTATAGGGTGCTCTAGGAAGTTATAGGATGCTATAGGTGGTTTTAGGGTGCTATAGGGGGTTATAGGATGCTATAAGTGGTTATAGAATGCTCTAAGGGGGTATAGGATGCTATAGGTGATTATAGGGCGCTAGGTTTACCAGATGCTCTAGGGGGATATAGAATGCTATAGGTGGTTATAGGGTCCTATAGGGGGGTATAGGATGCTATAGGTGATTGTAGAGTGCTCTGGGAGGGTATAGGATGCTATAGGTGATTGTAGGGCGCTCTAGGGAGTTACAGGATGCTATAGGTGATTATAGGGTGCTCTAGGGAGTTACAGGATGCTATAGGTGGTTATAGGGCACTATAGAGGCGTATAGGATGCTGTAGGTGATTATAGGGTGCTCTAGGGAGTTACAGGGTGCTATAGGTGGTTATAGGGTGCTATAGGGGGGTATAGGATGCTATAGGTGATTATAGGGTGCTCTAGGGAGTTACAGGATGCTGTAGGTGGTTATAGGGTGCTATAGGGGGGTATAGGATGCTATAGGTGGTTTTAGGATGCTATAAGTGGTTATAGAATGGTCTAAGGGGGTATAGGATGCTATAGGTGGTTATAGGGCGCTAGGTTTACCAGATGCTCTAGGGGAATATAGAATGCTATAGGTGGTTATAGGGTGCTATAGGGGGGTATAGGATGCTATAGGTGGTTGTAGAGTGCTCTGGGAGGGTATAGGATGCTATAGGTGATTGTAGGGCGCTCTAGGGAGTTATAGGATGCTATAGGTGATTATAGGGTGCTCTAGGGAGTTATAGGATGCTATAGGTGGTTATAGGGCACTATAGAGGCGTATAGGATGCTGTAGGTGATTATAGGGTGCTCTAGGGAGTTACAGGGTGCTATAGGTGGTTATAGGGTGCTCTAGGGGGGTATAGGATGCTAGAGGTGGTTATAGGGTGCTCTAGGGAGTTACAGGATACTGTAGGTGGTTATAGGGCACTCTAGGGAGTTACAGGATGCTATAGGTGGTTATAGGGTGCTATGGGGGTTATAGGATGCTATAGGTGCTCTAGGGTGTTACAGGTGCTCTAGGGTGCTCTAGGATGCTATAGGTGCTCCCTAGGGTGCTCTAGGGGGTTATAGGATGCTGTAGGTGGTTATAGGGCGCTCTAGGGAGTTACAGGATGCTGTAGGTGGTTATAGGGCACTCTAGGGAGTTACAGGGTGCTATAGGTGGTTATAGGGTGCTATAGGGGGGGTATAGGATGCTATAGGTGCTCTAGGGTGCTCTAGGGTGTTATAGGTGCTCTAGGGTGCTCTAGGATGCTATAGGTGCTCCCTAGGGTGCTCTAGGGAGTTATAGGATGCTGTAGGTGATTATAGGGTGCTCTAGGGGGGTATAGGATGCTATAGGTGATTATAGGGTGCTCTAGGGAGTTACAGGATGCTGGAGGTGGTTATAGGGCGCTCTGGGGGTGCCGGGGGTGCTGTGTGCGGCGGGTGACCCCTCCCGCCCCCCCCGCAGGGCTGCCGGTGGTGCCGGGGACGCCATCGCCGGTGTCGGGGTTGGCCGAGGCGCGGGACTTCGCGCTGGACGCCGGCTTCCCCGTTATCCTCAAGGCAGCGCACGGCGGCGGCGGCCGCGGCATGAGGGTGGTGCGGGCACCGCAGGTACCGGCCTGAGCCTCCCCCACAGGAGCCCCCCCCCGTGGGACCCCGATGTCCACATCCCAAGGGACACCCCCACCCCCCCCCCCCAAATCCATGGATCCCCAAATCCCTGGGATGCTCCCCGGGGTTTAGGAGGACCCATGTGGGGTGCGCGCAGGCACCCGTGGGTGATGCAGGGCACCCCCGTTGTGTGTGGGGGTGCTGGGCCCGCGGGTCTCCCGGCATTCCAGGCTTGTCCCAGCCACGCTCCATTGCAGGAGCTGGAGGAGAGCTTCTCCCGCGCCTCCTCCGAGGCTTTGGCCGCCTTTGGCAACGGGGACCTGTTCGTGGAGAAGTTCATTGAGCGCCCGCGGCACATCGAGGTCCAGATCCTGGGTACGGAGTGGGGGGGTGGGGGTCCAGGGGGATCCCTATGGGATCTGAGCAGGATCTGGGAGGTCTTTGGAGCTTTTTAGGGGCTCCTTGGGGCTTTTGAGGGGCTTTTGAGGGGGTCTCTGGGGGCTTTCTGGTGGTTACCTGGGGATTTGGAGGGGGTTTTGTGGCTTTTGGGTGGGCTGGGGGGACTTTGGGGTGTCTTTTGGAGCATTTAGGGGGTCTTTATGGCTGTTGGGGAGGTGTCTGGAGGGACTTTGGGGTGTCTTTTGGAGCATTTAGGGGGTCTTTATGGCTGTTGGGGAGGTGTCTGGGGGGACTTTGGGGTGTCTTTTGGAGCATTTAGGGGGTCTTTATGGCTGTTGGGGAGGTGTCTGGAGGGACTTTGGGGTGTCTTTTGGAGCATTTAGGGGGTCTTTATGGCTGTTGGGGAGGTGTCTGGGGGGACTTTGGGGTGTCTTTTGGAGCATTTAGGGGGTCTTTATGGCTGTTGGGGAGGTGTCTGAAGGGACTTTGGGGTGTCTTTTGGAGCATTTATGGGGTCTTTATGGCTGTTGGGGAGGTGTCTGGGTGGACTTTGGGGTGTCTTTTGGAGCATTTAGGGGGTCTTTATGGCTGTTGGGGAGGTCTTTGGGGGTCCTTGGGGCTTTCGGGGAGGTCTTTGGGGGGTCCTTACGGACCTGGGAGCTTTTTCTGCGGCTGCTCCTGGATTCGGGGGTGTCCCCAGAGCCAAAGCGGGGTTTGGGGTGTCGGGATGGGGCTGGGATGGGGGGGGGTGCCCGTGTCCCGGTGTGACCCCGGCCCGGTCCCGGTGCAGGGGACCAGCACGGGCACGTGGTGCACCTGCACGAGCGGGACTGCTCGGTGCAGCGCCGGCACCAGAAGGTCGTGGAGATCGCGCCCGCGGCGCGGCTGCAGCCGCAGCTCCGGGAGCGCCTCGCCAGCGACGCCGTGCGCCTGGCGCGGCAGGTACCGAGCGCCGCCGCACGGGGGCGCCGCAGACCCATTGGGAGGAACCCATGAGGGGGACCTAAGGGAACCGGGGGGGGGGTGTTTGACCATGGGGTCTCGCCGCAATCCGTGGGGAGACCCAGGAGAATGTGGGGACACCAAGGGATCCATGGGGGAGACCCGGGAGTTGGGGGGGAGGAGGATGTAAAGGGAAAATGGGGAGACGCAGGAGTTTCGGAAGGGACCTGCACCCATCACGAGGGGAGAACATGGGGGGACACAAGAACTGGGAGGGAGGAGGCCATGGGGGTCACCCAGAATCCATGGGGAGACCCGGGAGAACATGGGGGAGACACAGGAATTGGGGAAACACCCAAGAGCCATGTGAGGGGCTGCACCCATCATCAGGGCAACGGGCACCCAAAGGGGCACCCAGGCCTTTGGGGGTGCCCCCGTTTCCGGCCTGACAAGGTGTGTGTGGGGGCTGCAGGTGGGGTACGAGAACGCAGGAACAGTGGAATTCCTGGTGGATCAGAGCGGGAGCTACTACTTCATCGAGGTCAACTCGCGCCTGCAGGTGGAGCACACGGTCACCGAGGAGATCACGGGGTGCGTGCGGGGGGGACACCCCAAAACCGGGTCCTGGGGAGTGCAAAGGGATGAGGGGGGCACCTGGGTGCCAGGTCTTTGGGAAGACGCCGGTGGGAGATGTGGCTCCATCTGCTGAGGCTGTTGGAGATGTGGGTCCATGGCTGCCCTGTGGGGAGGTGTGGGTCAGCACTGGGGGTTCTTGGGCCCCCCTGTGACCCCCCGTCAGCGTGGACCTGGTCCACGCGCAGTTGCAGGTGGCCGCGGGCCGGTCACTGCCGGAGCTGGGGCTGGAGCAGGACAAGATCCGTGTCAACGGCTGCGCCATCCAGTGCCGCGTCACCACCGAGGACCCAGCCCGTGGCTTCCAGCCCGACACCGGCCGCATCGAGGTGAGCGCCTGGGGCACCCCACTGGGACGATCCCATTGGGACACCCCAGCGCCCACAGCAGCCTCTGAAGGGTCTCTCGGCACCCCGGGTGCCGCCGCAGGTGTTCCGCAGCGGGGAGGGCATGGGGATCCGCCTGGACGGCGCCTCCGCCTTCCAGGGCGCGCTCATCTCGCCGCACTACGACTCGCTGCTGGTGAAGGTGGTGGCCCACGGCCACGACCAGCCCGCGGCCGCCGCCAAGATGCGCCGTGCCCTGGCTGAGTTCCGCATCCGCGGTGTCAAGGTCGGCCCCCGAGGGGCGGGGGAGCAGGGTGATGGGATGGGGGGCACCGGGATGGGTGGGGGTTCTTGTGTGGTTCGCAAGGGGATGGGAGCCTCGTGTGCGATGCACAAGGGGGTTTGAGGGGCTCGTGTGTGGTGCATGGGGGGGTTGGAGGGGCGCTGCTCTGGTGCACGAAGGCCCTGGTGCAATGCACAAGGAGTTGGAGGGCACTTGTGCAGTGTGCCAGGGGCTGGGGTGTGCGGTGCTCTGGGTTGGGGGTGTTTGACACGCTGCGGTGCTCATGCAGTGCACAAGGGGCTGTTGGAGCCACTTGGGCAATGCACGGCAGGGGGGTCTTGTGTGACTCCCCTCATCATGGAGTGTGGGGGGCGGTGGGAGGTCCCTCGTGGACTGCATGATGGGGTTGTGCACTGTCCTAGCATCCCAGTGCATTGCACGAGGATGGTGTCAGGGTGCTGCGCCCCTTGTGCATTGCACGAGGATGGTGTCAGGGTGCTGCGCCCCTTGTGCATTGCACGAGGATGGTGTCAGGGTGCTGCGCCCCTTGTGCATTACACAAGGATGGTGTCAGGGTGCTGCGCCCCTTGTGCATTACACAAGGATGGTGTCAGGGTGCTGTAGCCCTCGTGCATTGCACAAGGAAGGTGTCAGGGTGCTGTGCCCCTTGTGCATTATGATGAGGATTGTGTCAGGGTGCTGTGGCCCTCGTGCACTGCACAAGGATGGTGTCAGGGTGCTGTGCCCCTTGTGCATTGCACAAGGAAAGTGTCAGGGTTCTGTGCCCCTTGTGCATTACATGAGGATGGTGTCAGGGTGCTGTGGCCCTTGTGCATTGCACAAGGTGTCAGGGTGCCGTGCCCCTTGTGCATTACACGAGGATGGTGTCAGGGTGCCGTGCCCCTTGTGCATTACACGAGGATGGTGTCAGGGTGCTGTGGCCCTCGTGCATTGCACAAGGAAGGTGTCAGGGTGCTGTGCCCCTTGTGCATTACATGGGGATGGTGTCAGGGTGCTGTGGGCCTCGTGCATTGCACAAGGAAGGTGTCAGGGTGCTGTGCCCCTTGTGCATTACATGGGGATGGTGTCAGGGTGCTGTGGGCCTCGTGTGTTGCACGAGGGTGGTGCCGGTGCCCCCGTTGTGCCTTGCACGAGGATGGTGCTGGTGCCCCTCATGCCTCAGCCACTGACGGGCGCATCCTGCGCAGACGAACATCCCGTTCCTGCAGAACGTCCTGGCGCACCCCCAGTTCTTGGGGGGTGTCGCTGATACCCAGTTCATTGATGAGAACCCCGAACTCTTCCACCTGCGCCCCGGGCAGAACCGGGCCCAGAAGCTGCTGCACTACCTGGGTATGGGGCTGGGAGGGGGCCTGGGGGAGGCGCTGGGTGCTTGAAAGCAGTTTGAGGGGCTCTAAGGGGTCCCTGTGGGGCTTGGGAGAGTTCTTGGGCAGTCCTGGGGGGCTCCTGGGGGGGGTCCTTGGAGGGTTCTTGGGGGGCTCTAAGGAGTCCCTTGGGGGGGTCCAAACCCCCCAACCATGCACCCTCCCCCAGGTCACGTGATGGTGAACGGCCCCAGCACCCCTCTCCCAGTCAAGGCGAAGGCAGCGCTGATGGAGCCCACCCCGCCCCCGACACCCATGGGTGAGAGCCCCGTGCTTGGCATGCGCTTGGCATGTGCTTGGCATGACATAGCCTGTACTAAGGCGCACGCGCGCGTTACCACGTGTGCTTGCCGCGTGCACGGTGCGCGCGCGCGCTACGCTCACCGTGCCCGTGCCCCCCCCATTCCAGGGCCGCCCCCGCCGGGGCTCCGGGCCGTGCTGCAGCGGGAGGGACCGGGCGCGTTCTCGCGGGCGCTGCGCGCGCACCGGGGGCTGCTGCTCACGGACACCACGTTCCGGGACGCGCACCAGTCGCTGCTGGCCACGCGCGTGCGCACGAGGGACCTGGCGCGCGTGGCGCCCTTCGCCGCGCACAGCCTCAGCGGCCTCTGCAGCATGGAGACGTGGGGAGGTGGGCGGGGCCTCGGGGGGGGGGGCGTGGTCATGGGGGTGCACGGCGGGAACGGGTGAAGCCCAGAGGGGCGGGGCCTATAAAGGGGCGTGGCTTCCCTTGTGGGAGCTGTGAATGGGAATGGCTCAGGGGGCTGGGCTTCGAAGGGCGGGGGCGTGAATGGGGAGGTTGTAAAAGGGGGCGTGGCTTCTCTGGGGAGCTGGTAGGAATGGGAGTGGTCGAAGGGGCGGGGCTTCGAGGGGGGGTGTTGTCGGAATGGGGAGGGTGCAAAAGGGGGCGGGGCTTCTATTGGGAGCAGGGAATGGGAGTGGCCGAAGGGGCGGGGCTTCGAAGGGGGAGCGTGGTCTGAATGGGGAGGGTGCAAAAGGGGGCGGGGCTTCTTATGGGAGTGGTCGAATGGGGCGTGGTCGGAATGGGGCGTGTGCAAAAGTGGGCGTGGCTTATCTGGGGAGCTGCGAATGGGGGTGGCCGGGGGGGGGGTTCTCTATGGATGACCGTGGGGAATGGGAGGCAGGGGGAAGGGGCGTGGCCTGGGTGTGGGGGGCGTGGCTGCAGCAGTTCTGGGTCCTAAAGGGGGCGGGGCTTTGCCCTGGGAGCCCTTAACACTGGGGGCAGAGGTGGGAAGGGGGGTGAAGGTGTTCAAGGTGGGGGGGGGGGGGTGCAGCAGCGCTCAGCCTCTGCCCCCCAGGTGCCACCTTCGACGTGGCCATGCGGTTCCTGCACGAGTGCCCCTGGGAGCGGCTGCGGGAGCTGCGGCGCCTCGTCCCCAACATCCCCTTCCAGATGCTGCTGCGCGGCGCCAACGCCGTCGGCTACACCAACTACCCCGACAACGTCGTCAACCGGTGACCGGGGGACACCGGGGGGGCCTGTTGGAGCATGGGGAGATGTGAAGGGATGAGCAGGCATGGGGGATGAGCAGACGTGGAGACATGGGGGAATATGGTGACGTGAGGGCGCATGGAGGGGTGAACGGATGGGGGGAGACGGAACACAGTGGACGTGGGGAGACATGGAGGGATAAGGAGACATGAAGGATATGGTGAGACGGAGGACATGGGGAAATGAGGGACGAAGGGATGGGTGTAGGTGGACCATGAAGGACATAGAGATATATGGAGGGATGATGGGACATGGGGGCCATGAGGGGATGATGTGACTTGGGGGACATGAAGAACATGGGGACGCTTGGAGCAATGGCAGGACATATACCCAGTGTGACGAGCACCCATGAGGACACAGTGGGTCACCACGGGACGTGCCACCAGCCCGCAGGTGCTCAGGGACCCCCATAACCCCTCTGGTGCTGCCCAGGTTCTGTGAGGTGGCCGTGGCCAACGGCATGGACATCTTCCGCGTGTTCGACGCCCTCAACTACCTGCCCAACCTGGTGCTGGGGATAGAGGCTGCCGGGCGAGCAGGCGCCGTGGTGGAGGCCGCGCTCTCCTACACCGGCGACGTGGCTGATCCCACCCGCACCAAGTACAGCCTCCAGTACTACCTGGACCTGGCGCGGGAGCTGGTGGCTGCCGGCACTCACATCCTCTGCATCAAGGTGAGGAGGGGTCTATGGGGGGAGCTTAGGGTGACAGAGAGGGGAGTTTGGGGATGGGAGGGGGGATTGGGGGGGTATTTGGGGTGCTAGAGGGGATGAGATGGGAACTGGGGGTTGCTGGAGGGGCTGAGGGGTGAATTTCAGGCCCCCAACACCCCCAGAATGCGACACAGCAGCTACTGTGGGAGTTGGAGGTTGAGATGAGATGAGGGGCCCCATGACCCCCCATGCTATGTTCCCCTATCCCCCCTACCCCCTATGACCCCAATGCCCCACATATCCCCGCTGCCCCCCTCATGTCCCCATGTGCCCCGTGCCCCCCATAACCCCTCCCTATCCTCCCTGACCCCTCTCTGACTCCTCTGTGGGGCAGGACATGGCGGGGCTGCTGACCCCAGGTGCCGCACGGGTGCTGGTGACGGCGCTGCGGGAGCGCTTCCCAGAGGTTCCTCTGCACGTGCACACGCACGACACGGCCGGGGCCGCCGTCGCCTCCATGCTGGCGGCTGCCAATGCTGGCGCTGATGTGGTGGACGTGGCCGTGGACGCCATGGCTGGGATGACCTCCCAGCCCAGCATGGGCGCGCTGGTGGCCTGCGCCCGCGGCACCCCTCTTGACACAGGTACCTCGGCCGTGGCAATAGCAACGTGGGCAGGGAGGTGGGGACGTAGTTATGGAGGTCCACCATGGTGTTGGTAGTAGCAACGTGGGCAGGGAGGTGGGGATGTAGTTATGGAGGTCCACCATGGTGTTGGTAGTAGCAACGTGGGCAGGGAGGTGGGGACGTAGTTATGGAGGTCCACCATGGTGTTGGTAGTGGCACCGTGGTCATGGTAATGGCAGTGGGGTTAGGGAGGTGGGGACATAGTTATGGAGGTCCACCATGGTGTTGGTAGGGGCACCGTGGTCATGGTAATGGCAGTGGGGTCAGGGAGGTGGGGACGTAGTTATGGAGGTCCACCATGGTGTTGGTAGTGGCACCGTGGTCATGGTAATGGCAGTGGGGTCAGGGAGGTGGGACGTAATTATGGAGGTCCACCTTGGTATTGGTAGTGGCAATGTAGTCAAGGAGGTGGAGGTGCCACCATGGTCTTGGCAATGGCAACGTGGTCTTAGTAATGGGAACATGGTCAGGGAGGTGGGGGTATAGTTACAGAGTAGGCACCATGGCACCATGACCACGATGACACCACCATGGTCTAACCAGTGGCACCATGACCATGTTGATGCCACCATGCTCATAGCAACACCGCCACAGCCACACCGCTGCACACATAAACCACAACCCCACCACCACACTCCCAGCATCACCGCTACACCCACAGTGCCACCACCGCACCCATCACACCCAACCACCACCACCCTTGCCCGTGGTGGCCCCAATGAGGTCCCCAGGCACTGGTGGCTCCAAGGGGGATGTCCTGCCTTAGGCATCTCGCTGGAGAAGGTGTTTGAGTACAGCGAGTACTGGGAGGGCGCACGGGCGCTCTACGCCGCCTTCGACTGCACGGCCACCATGAAGTCTGGCAACGCCGACGTCTACGAGAATGAGATCCCTGGGGGGCAATACACCAACCTCCACTTCCAGGCCCACGCCATGGGGCTGGGCCACAAGTTCAAGGAGGTCAAGAAGGCCTATGCCGAGGCCAACAAGCTCCTTGGGGACCTCATCAAGGTAAGGGAGGGAGTGGGGGTCTTCATGGGGTCGGTCTTCATGAGGTGGTCTCCATGGGGTGGTTTCCATGGGGTGGTTTCCATGGGGTGGGTGGTTCTTCATGGGGTGGTGGTGATGGAGGCAGTTGATGTGGAATAGGGGGTCTTCATGGGGTGGGTGGTCTCCATTGGGTTGTGTTCATAGTGTGGGTGGTCTCCATGGGATTGTCTTCATGGAGTGGGTGGTCTCCATAGGATGATGTCCGTGGGGTGGAATGGACTCCATGTGTTGAGTGCTCCGTGAGTGAAGTGCTCCATAGGCTGGATGCTCCATAGATAGGGTGCTTCATGGGTTGAGAGCTCCATGGGGCAGGTACTTCATGTGTTGTATTAACTCCATGACTCGAGTGCTTAATGACTCAGGTGCTCCATGAGTTGGGTATTTCATGTCTTGGGTGCTGCATGAGTTGGATTCTCCGTGGATTGGATGCTCCATGGGTTGGGTTTTCCACAAGCAAGACCCCTGAGTGGCACCCCTGGGTAACACCATTGGGTGACACTACAGGGTGACACCTTTGGGCCGTTGCAGGTGACCCCGTCCTCCAAAGTGGTGGGGGACCTGGCGCAGTTCATGGTGCAGAACGGGCTGTCGCGGGAGGAGGTGGAAGCGCGCGCAGACGAGCTCTCCTTCCCGCTCTCTGTGGTGGAATTCCTGCAGGGATACATTGGCACCCCCCCGGGCGGCTTCCCCGAGCCCTTCCGCTCCCGGGTGAGGCACTGGGGAGCACTGGGATGGACTGGGAGGGCTTCCTGGAGGCTTTAGGCATGGCACTGGGCCCTAGCAACAGGTCCTAGTGGTGGTTGCCATGGCACCTGCTCCATAGTGATGGATCCCTCATCCATCCATCATAATGGTGTTGGATCCTTAGCAGCAGGATCCAGCACTAGTTTCCATGGCAACAGCTCCATAGTAAGGTGTCCCCATTCCACCCAACCCTAGGTCTAATGATGGTTTCCATGGCACCCAACCCCTATCAACAGATTGCTGTATCAGTTGCCATGGCAACAGCCCCATAGCAGCAGGTCTAACAATGGTTGCCATTACACCTGCCACTAGCAATGGGTCCCTATGCCTGGTTGCCATGGCAGCCAACCCTACCAATGGCTCCCAGCACCAGCTGGCATGGCACCAAGCCCTATAGCAGCATATCCCTAGCAACACCCCTAGCAACAGGATGCTGTGGTCCCTCTTGCTGCCTCCACCCCCTGGTCACCGTGGCTTCACCCTCGTTGCCATGACTACCCCCCTGTTGCCATGGTAATCCATCCCCAGGTGCTGAAGGAGCTGCCCCGCATCGAGGGCCGCCCAGGGGCATCGCTGCCACCGCTGGATTTTGAGGCTCTGGCGCAAGACTTGGGGTCCCGCCACGGGGCCCCCCCCAGCCCCGAGGACCTGCTCTCGGCCGCGCTTTACCCCAAGGTCTATGATGAGTTCCGCACCTTCACCAGCACCTTCGGGCCCGTGTCCTGCCTCGGCACCCGCCTCTTCCTCGAGGGGCCCACCATCGCCGAGGAGTTCGAGGTGCAGCGCGGGGGGACTGGGGACACTGGGAGGGAACTGGGTGTTACTGGGAGGCAACAAAACAGAGCCTGGAGTGGGAGCTGTTCTGGGCAGAGCTTTGAGCATCCTTCGCACACCCTCCTGCACCCCTCCAACAGCCTTTTCTCCCCCTTGCACCCCTCCCAACGCACCCGGGACCCCTCGTGTCCCCCTCTCACGCAGGTGGAGCTGGAGCGGGGCAAGACGCTGCACATCAAGGCGCTGGCGCTGGGGGACCTCAACACCGCGGGGCAGCGCGAGGTCTTCTTCGAGCTCAACGGGCAACTGCGCTCCATCCTCGTGCGGGACACACAGGCCATGAAGGTGGGGGGGTGGGCATGGGGAGGGGCTGGGGGGGGTTGGGATTAATGGGGGATTTAGGGGGTTTGGGGGGGGGTTGGGGTGTTTTGAAGGGGGTTTTGGGGCTTGTGGGGTTAGGAGAAGGTTGGGAGCATCTGGGAGGACTTGGGGTTGTTAAAGTGGCTTGGGGGTGTTTAGGTGGCTGAAGAAGCAGTTGGGGGGGGGCAATGGGGCATGATGAGGGGCTTGCAGGTGCTTCAGGAACCATGGGGGAGTGCTAGGAATTTGTGGGATCCCAGCGATCCTGGTGGTGGCTGTGGGAGGAGAATACAGGGAGGGTCCTGTGGGACATGGGGGGGTCTTGGGGACTCCTCACCCCCCCCTCTCTTCCTGATCTCTCCCCCCCCCAGGAGATGCACGTGCACCCCAAGGCTGACCGCGGGGCCAAGGGCCAGGTCGGAGCGCCGATGCCGGGCGAGGTGGTGGAGGTGCGGGTGGAAGAGGGGGCGCAGGTGGCCAAGGGGGACCCCCTCTGTGTCCTGAGTGCCATGAAGATGGAGACCGTGGTGACAGCCCCCATGGCCGGCACCATCACCCGGGTCCACGTGCGCCCCGGCATGAGCCTGGAAGGGGACGATCTCATCCTGGAAATCAAGTAGGGGGGTGCACAGGGACCCCCCCCCAAACTTTCTCCTTGCATCCCCCCTCCTAATAACCCACCGACCCCCCAAAACCCCCGCCCGAAATGACGCCTCTGTTAAAGGGAGTACTGTCCCTTTAAGACCGACTTGACCCCCCCCCCCCAACACCGCGCCCTGGCCTAAGCGCGGTAGCGCCACCTGGTGGCGGAAAGCGGTACAGCGAGGGGGGACAACAGGGGAGAAGCCATTAATTAGGGGGCCTCAGAGCTTAATTGGGGGTCACCCTTTAATTAAGAGGGTCAGTGCTTAACTAGGGGGAACCCCTTCGTTGGGGGTCCCCATTAATGGGGGGTGAGCACTTAGTTGGGGTCACCCCTCTGAGGGGGTGACCTGTTAGTTGGGGGGGGCATCACTCAATTAGTGGGCACCCCATTTTAGGGGGGGTCCAACCCATAAGTAGGGGCACCCCTTAATTGGGAGGGGTCATTGCTTAACTTGGGGGGGGGTCACCCATTTAGGGGAGATCAGCCCTTATTTGAGGGGGGCTCACGTCTTAATTGGGGGGGGCATCACTTAATTGGAGGTACAATTGGGGTCCCCCTGTTTGGGGGTTCACCCATTTGGGGGTTCCTTCACACTGGGGGGGTCCCCAGCCTCTGTCCCCCCTTAGCCCCACCCCCTTTATTAACCCTGTCCCTGCCATGCTGCCTTAGGGGGAACCCGGATTTCGGGGGGGGGGGGGAGTGTTGTTGCCCCTCCCCCCTTTCGTTGCTGCCAAACGCCCCACCCCCACCCATGGGGGGGGCAATGGGGGGGTGGGGGAGGAGCCGAAGCCTGTGACCAAAGGGCGGGAATGACACTGGACGATGGGAACAAACCTGGAAGGGGGAGGGGTGAGGGTGACACCCCCCCCCCCCCCCCCCCCCCCGGCCTCCCCTTTTCCCACCCACCCCCATCGCGCTGGGGGGGGTCGCGGGTAATAAAGACTGGACTAACACATGCACCCTGTGGGGGCTATAGGGGCCTATGAGTGCTGCGGGGTGTCTGTAAGGGGCTATGGGGCAGCTATGGGGGCTATAGTCATATAGTTCCAGGGGTTGTGGGAGTTCTATAGGTGTCTCTAGGGGCTATGGGGAAGACTGTAATGTGTCTATGAGGGGCTAAAAAGTGTCTATAGGGGCTATAGGGGGTCTATAGAGGGGCTATGGGATGTCTGCAAGGGGCTATAGGGAGTCTATAGAGGGGCTATGGGATGTCTGCAAAGGGCTAAAGGGACTAAAGTGGGGTTATAGGAGGTCTAGGTGTCTCGAGGGTACATGGAGGGGGCTATAAGGTGTCTATAGGGGCTATGAGGGGGTCTAAGGTGTCTATAGGGGCTATGAGGGGGTCTAAGGTGTCTGTAGGGGCTATAGGGTGTCTATAGGAGGGGTATGGGAGCTATGGGATGTCTGTAAGGGGTGTAAGGCAACTAAAGTAGAGTTGTATGAGGTCTAGGTGACTCTGGGGTCTATGGAGAGGGCTCTATAGTGTCTATAGGGGCTATGGGGGACTATGGAGTGTCTATAGGGGCTATGGGGGACTACGGAGTGCCTGTAGGGGCTATGGGGGACTATGGAGTGTCTATAGGGGCTATGGGGGACTATGGAGTGTCTATAGGGGCTATGGGGGACTGTGGGGTGCCTATAGGGGCTATGGGCGACTATGGAGTGTCTATAGGGGCTATGGGGGACTACGGAGTGCCTGTAGGGGCTATGGGGGACTATGGAGTGTCTATAGGGGCTATGGGGGACTATGGAGTGTCTCTAGGGGCTATGGGGGACTATGGAGTGTCTATAGGGGCTATGGGGGACTATGGAGTGCCTATAGGGGCTATGGGGGACTATGGAGTGTCTATAGGGGCTATGGGGGACTATGGAGTGTCTGTAGGGGCTATGGGGGACTATGGAGTGTCTATAGGGGCTATGGGGGACTATGGAGTGTCTGTAGGGGCTATGGGGGACTATGGAGTGTCTGTGGGGGCTATGGGGGACTATGGAGTGCCTATAGGGGCTATGGGGGACTATGGAGTGCCTATAGGGCCTATGGGGGACTATGGAGTGCCTATAGGGGCTATGGGGGACTATGGAGTGTCTATAGGGGCTATGGGGGACTATGGAGTGTCTATAGGGGCTATGGGGGACTATGGAGTGTCTATAGGGGCTATGGGGGACTATGGAGTGTCTATAGGGGCTATGGGGGACTATGGAGTGTCTGTAGGGGCTATGGGGGACTATGGAGTGTCTATAGGGGCTATGGGGGACTATGGAGTGTCTATAGGGGCTATGGGGGACTATGGAGTGTCTGTAGGGGCTATGGGGGACTATGGAGTGTCTGTAGGGGCTATGGGGGACTATGGAGTGTCTATAGGGGCTATGGGGGACTATGGAGTGTCTATAGGGGCTATGGGGGACTATGGAGTGCCTGTAGGGGCTATGGGGGACTATGGAGTGTCTATAGGGGCTATGGGGGACTATGGAGTGTCTATAGGGGCTATGGGGGACTATGGAGTGTCTATAGGGGCTATGGGGGACTATGGAGTGCCTGTAGGGGCTATGGGGGACTATGGAGTGTCTGTAGGGGCTATGGGGGACTATGGAGTGTCTGTAGGGGCTATGGGGGACTATGGAGTGTCTATAGGGGCTATGAGGGACTATGGAGTGCCTATAGGGGCTATGGGGGACTATGGAGTGTCTGTAGGCATCTATTGGGGTTCCACAGCACCTCGAGAAGCTCTTTTCGATCTCGACCTTTATGGATACACCGGGGGGGCGGGGCCAGCCGGGGAGGGGGTGTGGTGAGCGCCCCGCGGTGGGCGGAGCTTCCCCATTGAGGGGCGTGGTCTGTGCTTAACCCCTATGGGTGGGGGGGGTCCCACCACCCCACCCCTCCCCAAGTGGGCGTGTCCCTGCCCCAAACGGGGGCGTGGCCTCAGCGATGTAGAGCCCTCCAGCACCCCACATAGGGGGGTTGCGTGTGTGTGTGTGTTGGGGGGGATCCCCCCATTTCCTCACACCCCCCCCCCCACATCAAGGGGGCGGGGCCATGCGGGGGGGGCCCGGGGGGGGGTTGGTGGCCGCCTTGCGCGCCAGCTTGGCCAGGAGGGGGCTGTGCGGGTGGCGCTGCCGCAGGTGCGCGATGTGCCCGTCCTGGCTCTCGGCCGTGCCGCCGCACTCCTCGCACACGTAGAGCTTGGCTCGCCGCTCCTTGTAGGCGTAGCGCTGCGCCACGCCGTGGATCTTCTTGAGGTGCGACTCCAGCGAGCAGCGCTGCGTGAACGCCTTCTCGCACAGGCTGCACTTGTAGGGGCGCACGCCTGGGGGGGGGAGGTGAGGGGGGGGTCTTCCCATAGGGAACGGCCCCATCTCCATCCCCTCCCATCGCAACCCACAGCCTGGTCTCCATCCCCGTCACACCCCCATCCCCATCCTAATCCCCGTCTCATCTCTGTTCTCTCTTCGTCCCATCACATGCTGTCATATCCCATTCCAACACATCCTATTCCATCCCGTCCCATCTTTGTCCCTATCCCATCCTTTCCTTGTTTCCATCCCACTCTCATTCCTATCCCCATCCCATCCTTTCTTTGTCTCCATCCCTTTCTCATTCCTATCCCCATCCCATCCTTTCCTTGTCTCCATCCCTGTCACACCCCCATCCCCATCCTATTCCTGTCCCCATCCTAATCCCTGTCCCATCTCTGTCCTCTCTTCGTCCCATCACATGCTGTCATATCCCATTCCAACCCATCCTATTCCATCCCATCCCATCCCAACCCTTCCCATCCCATCCCATCCCATCCCATCCCATCCCATCCCATCCCATCCCATCCCATCTTTGTCCCTATCGCATCCTTTCCTTGTCTCCATCCCTTTCTCATTCCTATCCCCATCCCATCCTTTCCTTGTCTCCATCTCACTCTCATTCCTATTCCCTTCCCATCCTTTCCTTGTCTCTATCCCATTTGCATTCCTACCCCCATCCCATCCCTGCCACCATTCCATCCCCAACCTCATTCCACCCTCATCCTGTCCCACATCCACCTCACCTCTGTCCTGTTCCCATCCCATCACATCCTTATCCGTATCCCATCCCACCCCCGTCCTCATCCCCATCCCATCACATCCTTATCCATATCCCATCCCACCCCCATCCTCATCCCCATCCTAACCTATCCCACCCCATTCCCTCCCTATCCCGCCCATCGCACCGGTGTGGGTGCGGACGTGACGCTTGAGGTCGAAGGTGTCATTGAAGCCCTTGCCGCAGTAGGGGCAGAGGTGCCGCTTCACCTCACTGTGGCACTTGAGGTGCCGGTTCAGCATCCGCTGGAACCCGAAGCTCTTCTGGCACACGGGGCAGGAGAAGAGCTCGGCTCCCCCCGGAACCCCCCCGGCCACCGGCACCCCCCCCGGGACCCCCCCAACCATGGGGAGAGCCGTGGGGATGGGGGCACCCAGAGGGCTGGGGGGGACCTGCCGAAGGAGGGGACGGGGGTGTAAATTGAGGGGATACACTGTCCTAGGTTTAGCAGTAGCCCTCCTCCCTGGCAGAGCATGAGGGGGTAAGGGGAAACATGGCCAGAGGAAACATGGTCAGGGGAAACATGGCCAGGGTAAACACTGAGCAGCAACTGAAAACATCGGTGTTATCAGCACTGTTCCCAGGCTGAAAGTCAAAAACACAGCGCTGCACCAGCTACCAAGGAGGAGAAAAATGACTGCTACTGCTGAACCCAGGATGTACACACACAAAGACCAGTCATGGGGACCCCCCCCCCTTGGGGACCCTCACCCATAGGGATGCCCCATAATGGGGACTCTCAGCCTTAGGGATACCCGCACATTGGGGACCCCCAGGTCATGAGGAACTCCCCAGCCTGGGCACCCTTGGTTATGCGGACCCCCCCATAGTGGGGACCCCCCACCTTGGTGAACCCCACCACCAGTTATGGGGATCTCCTCACTTTTGGGCCCCCCAGTCATGGGGATCCCCCCCCCCCCCCCCAAGCATTGAGACAACAAGTTCTGGGGATCCCCCACATCAGGGACACACCATACTGGGGACCCTCAGCCTTAAGGATCCCCTCATATTGGGGACACCCCCCACACATTCCCTCCCCCAACTTCCAGGACCCCTTCACATTTGGACCTCCCCCTTACCTTGCCCTTGGGGTGCAGGAAGGGGCCGGGGGGTGCGCGGGGGGCCGGGGGGGGCAGCGTCATGTCGAGGGGGGACACGGGTGATGCGGGGGCCTCCCCCAGGGCGGGCTCAGGGTCTCTGCGCAGGGGGCAGCCCCCCAGGAAGACTGGGGGGGGGGGGGAGAGAGGTGAGGGGAGGTGCACCCCCAAATAGCACCCACATGGGACCCCCAATGGGACCCCCCCAGTGGGCACCCCATAATGGGGACCTCCTTAATAGGACCCTGCCAAAAGGTGACCCCCTCCAATGGGGACCCTGTAATGGGGACCCCCCCAATGGGCAGCCCCTAATGGGAGCCCCCAGTGGGACCCCCCCAGTGGGCACCTTCACAATAGGGACCCTGTAATGGGGACCCCCTTAATGGCCCCCTCATAATAGGTACCCCGAAATTGGACTCCCCCTAATGAGCACCTCTAAAAGTGACCCCCTTAATGCCCCCCAATTTGCACCCCAATGGAGACCCCCTGTCCTCTGACCCTGCAATGGGGCACCCCCAAATGTGACCCCCCCCGATATAACCTCCCAATAGGTCCCCCCACCCCGTTGCAGCAGGACCCGAGGGGGGCTCCCCTTTTCCCCGCCCCCCCCGCCTCTTTGGGGTTCCCCCAACCGGTCCAACGGCTCTGGCCACGACACCCCAAATTACGGGGTGTCACCCGCGTGGGCCCTGGGGGGGGACACGCCACCCCCCACACCCCTCCTGCATCACCCCGGGAATCCGGACACCCCGATCCCCACCCCCCGGACACCCCAATTCCCCCCCCCTTGAGGTCCAGACACCCCAATAGCCCCTCCCAGGGCTTTGGGGGTTCCCCATGGGTTTTCGGAGGGCCCCATGATTTGTGGGTGCCCCATGGTTTAGGGGTGGCACCATGATTTTGGGGGGACACCATAGTCTTTGTGGAGGGCTACATGGCTCTGGGGGTGGCCCATGGGCTTTGAGGGTGCCCCATGTTTGGGGGGCCCATGGCTCTGGGGGTGCCTCATGATTGGGGGTGCCTCATGGCTTTGGGGGTGCCCCATAGCTGAGGGGTGCCCCATGGCTTTGGGCACCCCCCCCGGGGTGGTGTCGGCCGCGTGTCTCCTGCCCCACCCGGGCGGGGCCAAACCCCGACTCTGTCATTACGGGGGTTAATCATCGCCGCGACGCTTCCTGGGGCCCCCCCACAGCCCGGGGGGGGGCGGCACGGGGTAAACAGCCCCCCCCCTCCCCCCCAAAGGCCGAGGGTCCTCCCATAAAGCCGGAGCCATCCTCGGACCCTCCCAACACATCGGGGTCCCCCCAAAGCCTGGGTACCCCCAAAGCACCCGAGGCCCCCCCAAAGCTGGGGTCCCCACATACCAGGGTCCCCTCTCAACACTGTGATCCCCTCGGATGCCTCAGCCCCCCCCCCCCAGTACCCATCTCCCACTGGATTCCTGCCCAACCCCAAAACACGGGGGTCCCCCCCAAAAGCCTGGGCCACCCCCAGACACATGAATCCCCTCTGGATGCTGCCACCACCCCAAACACCCAGGTCTCACCCCCCAACACTGGGCTCCCCCCAAACCTTGGGGCTCCTCGAATACCTGGATCCCCCCCAAACACCAGAACCCCCTCAAACACGGGGATCCCCGCCAAAAGCCTGGAGCCCCCCAGTACCCATCTCCCAGCAACGGGTCCCCCCAGATACCGAGGTCGTGCCTGGATGCCTCGGTCTCGCAGTTCCAATTTCCCACCAGATTCCTGGGTTCCCCCCATGACACCCGAGTCCCCCCCGATCCCTGCCCCCCCCCCCCCCCCCCCGTCTCGGGGCTCCCCCATACTGGGCACGTAGATCTCCGCACGCTGCTCATCCGGGAGCTCGCTCCAGTTGCGCTTGGCCGAGGCCACACTCGGCTTCTTCACCAGGAAGGCGCGAGGCATTGCCCGATCCCGACGGATCCTGATGGCTCCCAATAGGTCCCAATAAATCTTGATGGGTCCCGATGGATCCAAATGGAACCCGGTGATGTTCCAGCCCTGATCCCAATCGGGATCCCAAGGGATTCACTGGCCTCTGATGGGTTTTGGTACTGGATTCCCAGTGCTTGAGATGGAAGGTGGGGATGGATCCCAGATCCCTGCTCAGTTGTGAGCCCAGAACATGATAATTGGGTTAATAACGGTGCCAGATCACAGATTCCTGGTCAATTTTAGTGCTGGATCCCAGCTCCAGGGTTGATTTTGGTTTTAGATCACAGATTCCTGGTCGATGGTGATCCCAGATTCCTGGTTAATTTTGATGTCGGATCCCAGATTCCGGGTCGATTTTGACACCAGATCCCAGCTGTTTGCTCAATTCCAGCACCAGCTCCCAGCTGGGGTTTGCTGCCTGCTCCCAAATCCTTGCTCAGCCCTGGTGCCGGATCCCGGATTCCCAGCCGCTTTTCCTGCCAGATCCCCAATCCTCGCTCGGGTTCAGCATCAGCGATCCCTTGGCCCGTTCCCACCCCAGGTCCCGGCTCGGTCCCGCTTTCAGTCCATCCCCTCTCCCGGCCGCTCCCGGCTCCGGGTGTCACCGTTGTCACCGCGGTGCCGCCGTCTCAGCACCGCTGCCCGGCTCCGGGTGTCGCCGGGTACCGGCTGCCGTCGGGCGCCGTCGGGTGCCGGTTGTGTCCGTGCCGCTGTGTCCGTGCCGCTGCCGAGCGTCGCCCCGCCGGTCCCGCCCCGGGAGGTGTTGCCGGTGCCGGGACTGGTGCGACCGGTTGTGCCGGAGCCGGTGTCGGAGCCGGTCGGTCGGGCGCCGCGTTGGGAAATAACGGGGGAGCCCAACCCCGGCCTGGGGACAGCGGGAGGGGGACACGGGGACAGGGGGCGGGGACATGGGGATATGGGACACGGGGACAAGGGCATGAGGGATGTGGGGACATGGGGAGACATTTGTGACAAAGAGGACATAGGAACATTGGGATGGGGAACATGAGGGATCCCCCCTTTGGAGGGTCACAAGGTCTCTTGTTGTCCCCTGGGGGTCCCCGTGATGCTGTGTCCCCTATGGGGTGTCCCCTGTCTCTATGTGCTGTCCCTGTGTCACCTATGGGGTGTCCCCCTGTCCCTATATGGTGTCCCCTATGTGGTGTACCCTGTCGCTATGGAGTGTCGCTGTGTCACCTATGAGGTGTCCTGCTCTCCCTATATGGCGTCCACTGCCCCTATGGGCTGTCCCCTGTCTCTGTTGGTGTGCGCCTGGCCCTGTGAGGAGTCCCTGATGAGGTGTCCCCTGTCCCTATGGAGTATCCCCGTGTCCCTTATGGGGTGTCCCCCTGTCCCTATGGGGTGTCCCTGTGTCCCCTATGGGGTGTCCCCTGTCGCTATGGGGTGTTGCTGTGTCACCTATGGGATGTCCCCCTGTCCCTATGTGGTGTCCCCCCTGGGGTGTCCCCCGTCCCTATGGGGTGTCCCCTGTCCCTATGGGGTATCCCTGTGTCCCCTATGGGGTGTCCCCCTGTCCCTATGGGGTGTCCCCTGTCCCTATGGGGTATCCCTGTGTCCCCTATGGGCTGTCCCCCTGTCCCTATGGGGTGTCCCTGTGTCCCCATGGGGTATCCCCTGTCCCTATAGGGCATCCCTGTGTCCCCAGGGGTGTTCCCTGTCCCTATGAGTGTGCCTCTGTCCCTATGGGTATTCCCTGTCCCTGTGGGCTGCCCCTGTCTCTATGTGGTGTCCCTGTGTCCCCTATGGCTGTCCCTGTGTCCCCTATGTGGTGTCCCCGTTCCTGTGTCCCCTATGGGCTGTCCCCTGCCCCTGTCTCCGCTGTCCGCGGCCACTCCCGTCCCGCTCCTGTCCCGGGGGTTCCCTGGTCCCGTCTTTCCGGTCCCGGTGGCCCCGGGGGGGGGCCGGGGGGGGCTCGGGGCGACGCGGCGGAACCGGCCGGTCCGGCCCGAGAGGGAGGGAGGGAGGGAGCCCCGCCCGGAGCGGCGGGACCGGCGGGGCAGGGAGCGGGGATGGGGAGGGGATGGGGATCATAGGGCGGATACAGGGAGCAAAGGGGCTATAGGGGGTCTATGGAGTCTGTAGGGGGGCTCTGTGGGGCTACTGGGAGGGGGGTGTCTATGGTGTCTATAAGGGATACCACGGGGGGGGGGGGTATGGGAGGGGTCTGTCTGGTCTATAGGGGTCTTTGGGTGATTCGGTGAGGCTCTGGGGGGCCCTATGGGGGTTCTATGGGGTCTATAGGGGATCTATGGGGGTCTATACTGGTCTAAAGGGAGTCTAGAGGGGGTCTATGGGGTCTATGAGGCCTATGGGGGTCAGTGGGGTCTAAAGGGGTCTACGGGAGTCTATAAGGGGTCTATATAGTCTAGAGGGGGTCTATGGGGAGTCGATGGGGTCTATAGGGGTTCGATGGAGTTTATGGGGGTCTGTGGGGTCTATAAGGGTCTATGGGGTCTATAGGGGGTCTATAGTGAGTCTGTGGGGTCTATACGGGCTACAGAGGGGCTTATGGAGGGGTCAACGGGGTGTGTGAACCGGAAGCGTGACGTCACAGGCGCTCCAGGAAACGGTGCAGGGAAAAAGCGGCGCTCACCCCCCCCCCCGAGGCCCCCCCTCGTTACGTCAGCAGGTGACGGACACGCCCCCTCCCGAGGTCACGCCCCCTATGGCCCGCTATGGGGGTGAATGGGGGGTCCCTAAGGGGGGCAGTGGGGTTCCCCCCAACCCCTGGGTCCTATGGGGGGGGGGGTTGGGTTCCCATGGGGGAGGGTCTGGGGGTTCCGTATGCGGGACTGGGGGTCCCCTGAATCCCTGTGTCCAATATGGGGGGCTGGGGGTCGCCCAAACCACTGGGTCTCCTATGGGGGGTAACTCGGGTCCACTGGGGGTGGTCTGGGGATTCTGTATGGGGGAGGATTTGGGGGGGGTCCCCTGAATCCCTGTGTTTAATATGGGGGCACTGGGGTACCCCCAACCCTTGGGTCTCCTATGGGGGGTGACTTGGGGTCCCCAATGGGTGTGAGGGATCCCCATGGATCCCATACAGAGGCAGGGAGGGATGCCCATGGATCCCATACAGGGGCAAGGAGAGATGCCCATGGACCCAGTACAGGGACTGGGAGGGATGCCCATGGATTCCATACAGGGGCGGGGAGGGTTGCCCTTGGATCCCATACAAGGAATGGGAGGAATGCCCACGCATTCCATACAGAGACTGGGAGGGATGTCCATGGATCCCACACAGGGACTGGGAGGGATACCCATGGATCCCATATAGGGACCGGGACGGATGCCCATGGATTCCATACAGGGACTGGGAATGATGGTGCTGGATGCCTTAATCGTACTGGGAGGGAAGCCAGTGGTTCCTATCATGGGGGTGGCAGGGAGTATGTCCTATAGTGGGACCATGGGGAACCCCTTAATGGTGCTGAGAGGGATCCCAGGGAATCCCATAGCCACACTGGGAGGAATCCCAGTGTATTCCATACTGGTGCTGGGAGGGATCCCAGGGAATCCCATAGCCATACTGGGAGGAATCCCAGTGTATTCCATACTGGTGCTGGGAGGGATCCCAGGGAATCCCATAGCCATACTGGGAGGAACCCCAGTGTATTCCATACTGGTGCTGGGAGGGATCCCAGGGAATCCCATAGCCATACTGGGAGGAATCCCAGTGTATTCCATACTGGTGCTGGGAGGGATCCCAGGGAATCCCATAGCCATACTGGGAGGAATCCCAGTGTATTCTATACTGGTGCTGGGAGGGATTCCAGGGAATCCCATAGCCATACTGGGAGGAATCCCAGTGTATTCCATACTGGTGCTGGGAGGGATCCCAGGGAATCCCATAGCCATACTGGGAGGAATCCCAGTGTATTCCATACTGGTGCTGGGAGGGATCCCAGGGAATCCCATAGCCATACTGGGAGGAACCCCAGTGTATTCCATACTGGTGCTGGGAGGGATCCCAGGGAATCCCATAGCCATACTGGGAGGAATCCCAGTGTATTCCATACTGGTGCTGGGAGGGATCCCAGGGAATCCCATAGCCATACTGGGAGGAATCCCAGTGTATTCTATACTGGTGCTGGGGGGGATCCCAGGGATCCTGACTCGCTCAGAACTTGCCAACAAGGCTCAAGTCGACGAGCGGGCGTTCTTTATTGCAGGGGCACAGCTCCACCTAGCGTGTTTGTGCCGAACCTCAAGCAGACCGTGCTTAGATCTTTGCTTGACGTGCATATTCATTAAAGGTCCTGCATATTCATTAACCACCCGAGACGCAGTTTACATAATCCCGCGCTCATTTCCACACGCGCACCACAACGTGGTAGTGCTGTTCTGGGGGTCGTTGACTTCTTCCAACAATCTTCATCGCTTCTGGCATCCTCCGAAGCACGTGCAGTAGATGCTGCTTCCACCAGCTTACTCGGTTTGTTAACACTGCAGACATAACCATCCTGTCCTTCTGCTTCTCAGTTAGCTTAGCTGCAGCCCATCCTGGACACCTTCTGGTTTCAGATACTCTTTATCCACACGTCCTGTTTTTCTTACCCTTATTTTTGTACTAAGGTCATAAGGACATAAACCTACACCAACTACGATTTACCTACTACAAGGATTCTCATTATGTTCTTCTTCAGCTGCACTCTACTTTTTCTTCTGTGAAACATGTACCTCTGTTATTTCCCACTGCTTCTGTTACAAAGCCCTCAAACTTCATGTTACTTAAAACTGAATTTACTTACTTAAAAAGGTTTACATCTCTTTTTGTACCTCCTTGTCTCAATCCATACCTGTGTATTAAGCCACTGTGCTTACCTAGTTGCTGTGATTTTATTACCTGCTTTTAACTAGCACGCTGTCGTGGTTTAAACCCAGTCACTGGGTTTAAACATCATTGATATCAGCTCTGTTCCCAGGCCGAAAGTCAAAACACAGCACTGCACCACCTACCAAGAAGGA